AGCCAGGGTCAGGCCAGCCCCCTGCCTCCAGCCAGCGTCAGGCCAGCCCCCTGCCTCCCACCCCCCAGCCAGGGTCACGGCCAGCCCCCCACACACACCCCAACTCCCAGCCAGGGTCAGGCCAGCCCCCCTGCCCTCCCAGCCAGCGTCAGGCCAGCCCCCCTGCCCTCCCCCACCCCCCCCAGCCAGTGTCAGGCCAGCCCTTCCCCAACAGCTCCCTGCCCCAGCCAGGGTCCAGCCAGCCCCCTGCACTCCCCGCCAGGGCCAGGACAGCCACAGGCCTTCCAACAACCCTCCACCCAACACACCCCAGTGAGGACTAGCCCCCCCCCCCCCGCCAATGACCCCCAGCCAGGACCAGACAGACCCTCTGCTAGCCACCCCCTTCCAGCCAGGGCCTACCCCCCAATAACAATCCCAGCAGGGCCAGGGATGCCCCCACCAGCTGGCACTTAAGCTGGACAGGGAAGGGTAAAAATGCTCCAAACTCAAGGTCCCAGGGCACTGAGCATCTCTCCCAGGAAACTCTCCTCCGGCGGGGCCATGCCTGCAGGGGGCCGTGCAGCAGCCACTCACCTGGAGTGTGCCCGTACACCAGCTGGCCAGCCCTCACCCCCACTCCCAGCACCAGGGTGGACAGTGGGGCCTGGGTGCCAGGACTCCTGGGTTCTATCCCAGCTCTGGGAGAGGAGAGGGGTCTAGTGGTTAGAGCAGCGTCTGGCAGCCAAGACTGCTGGGCTGTCTCTCTGGTCTGGTGACGTGGGGTCTCGTGGCTTGGAGCAGGGGGCTGGGAGCCAGGACTGCTGGGCTGTCTCCCAGGTTGGGGGCGCAGGGCGCTCACCTTCTGCAGCCCGACACAGAAGCGCCGGAACACCTCCTTCATGTTGCCGCCCTTCTCCATGGAGATGACGCGCAGATGGTCCTCCTCGTTCACCCACACCAGGAAGCTCTTGTTGTCATTGTGCCTGCAACCCGGAGCAGGGTGTGATGGCACCGGCACAGCCTGAGCCCCTGGCAGACTCCTCTCCAGCCCCCCAGCCCTGCCCCATTCGCCCCCTCCACCCAATCAGCCCTCGCCCCCCACAGGCCAGGCAGCGCCAGCGCCCCCTTGTCACAGCTACTGCGGAGCTGGGGAAAGGGCCCTGGCCTCTGGGCCAGAATCTGCCAGTCCGTCTTGTACCTGCAGGGCCGCTCTGAGCTGGGCAGCCCTGTGCCAGGGACGGACGGGCTACAGGGCATCCTTCCCCGACTCTCAGACCCCCCCAATGCTCTGCCCTAGGGCCCAGGGGAGCAGGGATAAGGGAAGGAGCATGCAGCGCCACCTGGAGGTGAAACTACACAACAGTTTAGCATCTCATTACAGAGCTGTGCATAAAACCCAAGAGTCCTGGCTGCCAGCCCCCTGCTCTAGCCACTAGACCCCACCCCCCTCCCAGAGCCAGGGATAGAACCCAGGAGTCCTGGCACTGAATCCCCCTGCCCAGACTCCCCCTCCAGTGGCGCTGGGGGCCCCGGTGCTCACCATATGCCCCTGGCATCGGGCCAATCGCGGGCCATGCCTGAGGCCAGCAGCAGGGGCGAGATGGGCTTGTCGAACAGGAAGTGGTCGTCTATCAGCTGCTGCTGCTCCTTGTCGCTCATGTCCTTCAGGGGGTAGTACTTGCCCTTGAACTCCCCGGTCAGGCTGTTCAGGGCTGGGGAGAGAGCAGGGGTCAGCCCCGGTCCTGGCTCCGTTCCCCAGCCCCATGGCTCCTCTGCTCCAGAGCCCAACCCCCTCAGCACCCCACTGCCCTGCTCCCAACCCCCCACTTCTCCACATGCACCACCCAACTCCCTCGCTCCCCTGCACCCACCAGCCAACCCCTCCTACTCCCCTGCACCCCTGCCCTGCACCCAACCCCCCCACTCCCCTGCTCCCAACCCCCCACTTCTCCACATGCACCACCCAACTCCCTCGCTCCCCTGCACCCACCAGCCAACCCCTCCTACTCCCCTCCACTGCTGCTCTGCACCCAACTCCCTCATTCCCCTGCACCCAGCACCCCACTGCCCTGCACCCACCAACCAACCCCTCCTACTCCCCTGCACCCAGTGCCCAAATCCTCCCTGCCCTGCATTCAGCCTCCCAGTGCCCAAACCCCTCAGCGTCCCACTACCCCACTCTCAGCACCCCAACCCCTCCTACTCCCCTGCACCCAGTGGCCCAGCACCCTCAACGCCCTGCTCCCCTGCACCCAGTGCCCTCAATACCACACCGCCCCTGCTCCCCAGTGCCCAGCCGCCTCGATGCCCCACTACCCTGCTCCCCTGCAGTCAGTGCCCAGCCCTTCCCTTCCCCCAGCGCCAAACCCCCTGAGCACCCCACTGCCCTGCTCCCTGCACCCAACCCCCACACTCCCCACACCCCACTCATGGCCCCCTATAGCCCCATCTCAGCTGCCCAGTGCCACCCGCCCCAACCCCCCCTCCAACCAGCAGGATCCCTTCCCCCACATGCCCCATAAACAGTCAGCAGGCACCCCCCTCACAGCCGGTGAGAACAGCTCACGCCATCAACGGCCTGGCCCAGGGGACACCTTCCCCCCATGAGACATGTTCAGTTCACGCCCTGTGGGGACCCTCCCAACCCACTGAGCACCCAGCCCTTCCCCAAGCCCCCCCACCAGCACACCTGAGTGCTGGCCTGCAGGTGCCTTGCCCCCAGCCTGTCCCATTGTCCCCCGCCCCATCCCTGCTACTTCTCGGATGGGGCCTGGCCCCAGCCCCCTACCAGTGACAGAGAGCTTCTCGATGGCGCGGCGCTCCCCGCGGCTGCAGTGGGGGGGCAGCGTGTACCCCTTGATGCTGCGCCCAGTGCGCACCCGGCTGCTCAGCACGTAGTTGGGGTCCAGGTCGTCTCCGCCCTGCGTGAGCCAGAGGGAACCAGACCCTGTAATGCCCCGGGATGGCCCCCCAGAGCACCTGGTCCCCGCAGGCTGGGCCCTGCCCGAGCCGCTGGCCCCCAGCTGAGTCAGATCCCTCCCCCAACACAACCCCTGCTCCCTAAATCCCAGTCCCGCCCCCCCACTCAATCCCCCGTCCCAGGCCCCCCAACCCCCACTCCATCCCCATCACAGCCCCTCAACCCCTGCTCCAGCCCCTGTCCTAACCCCACCAGCCCCCACTCCAGTCCCCCACCCCCACTCCATCCCCCATCACAGCCCGTCCGACCCCTGCTCCATCCCCCGTCCCAACCCCCACTCCAGTCCCTCCACCCCCATTCCATCACCCATCCCAGGCCCCCCCCCAATCCCCGCTCACACCTTCAGGTTCTCGTGGTTCAGGTCGGTCTTATGCTTGTCCGTGGGCTTGTAGCCGCCATGACGGTCCTGGATGATGGGGTCAAACAGGTCCTTGAAGACAGTGTAGGACTCCTCGTCCCCGGCCACGCAGCCCACCGTCATGATGAAGGGGTGCCCTGCAGGCAGCGCGGGGGGGTTAGACTGGGCAGGTTGGGAGGGGCCATGGGGCACAGGGCCTGCCGTAGGGTGCAGCCATAGGGTGCAGCTGGATGGCATCCCACCCTGCTGCTCCTTGGTAGGTGAGTTGGGTCCATTCCCCAGCGAGGGGGTGGTCAGGCCAGGAACCAGGCCCCTGGGCAGTGGTGGGGGGCAGCAGGAAGGGCTCAGCCCCTCTGCACTAGGCTCAGGGGGTCACTCCCCCCCCCCCCTGCCCAGGCAGCCTGTCCCTTTGCGCTGGCTGTGTGGGAGGCCGAGGGACACTGGGGGGTGGGTAGTCTCCAGCCGATTGCCACAGTGCTGGGAGCCAGGCTGGGCAGCTGCAGTGATGGGGGGGGCTCACAGGATCCTGGATGCACTGGGGGGGAATGAGCTCACAGGAGGTGGCTCCCCCCCAGTGCCCTCCCCCGCCGGGGCCAAGGGCTAAAGGCCAGGTGTCTGCAAGGCCCTCGCCCTGCTCCGTGGCAGGTACCTCCCAGGCCCCATCCTGGCTCATCCCCGGCAGGGCCGTGCTCAGTACCATGGTGGATGGCATGGGTGCTGCCCCACCCCGGGTGGCAGGGCTGGGGAGTCAGGGCTCAGGCTGCATGGAGGCTAGGGACAGCCGCTGCCATGCCCAGCTAGACTGGGTCCAAAGAAGCGAGAGAGCTGAGGGGGGTGTGGAGTGAGGGGCAGGAGGTTCTCGGGGGCGGGGGTCAGAGCCCTGTCACAGATAACACGTCTGGCCCTGGGAGTGGGGCTCAGCCGGCGCCCACCTGGGTTGTCCACCCCGGTCTGGATGATGTCATCCAGGGTGAAGCCGCTGGGGGTCTCCTTGTCTCGCAGCTTCTTGTAGATGTCCAGGGTGAGGGCCTTGGCCATGTGGTTGTTGTGCTTGGCGAGGTCGGGGAACTCCTCCTCCGCGGAGAAGTTCAGCTTGTACTTGTTGTGGGTGTTCCCGAACGGCATGATGGCGGGCGGGGGCGAGTCCTGCGGGGACAGGGGCTTGCTGAGTCCTGGGGGCAGCCGCCGGCTGGAGCCAAGGGCTGCTAGCCAAAGCCCCCCTCTGCCATGCCCAGAGGGCTGATCCCGCCAGCCTCCCATGCCCATCTCCCACCCGCAGAGCAGCCCTGGGGGGGCGTAGCCACCCCCCAGACAGAGGGGTACATCCCACTGCTCCCTCCAGGGCCCAGGCATCCTGTGTTAGTTGCACCAGCCTGAGGTCTCCTGGGGGGTGGAGGCACCTAAGTCAGGGTGACCCTATGTGACGAAGTGGGAAAGTTCTTAATGTTTTGTCTGAATACTGTGTGCGCCTCGGTTTCCCCTGTGTTACTCAGGGTTCTAGATCAGGGGTCGGCAACCTTTCAGAAGTGGTGTGTCGAGGCTTCATTTATTCACTCTAATTTAAGGTTTCGCGTGGCAGTCATACATTTGAACGTTTTTAGAAGGTCTCTTTCTAGAAGTCTATAATATAGACCTAAACTATTGTTGTATGTAAAGTAAATAAGGTTTTTAAAATGTTTAAGAAGCTTCATTTAAAATTAAATTAAAATGCAGAACCCCCCGGACCGGTGGCCAGGACCTGGGCAGTGTGAGTGCCACTGAAAATCAGCCAGCAAGGGGCGCTCCCCCCAGGCAAGGGCTCGGGTTCCTGGAACAGGAGAGTCAGTGTCAGTCTCAGGCAGAGCCCAGCACCCCACTGTCAGGGCAGGGGGCACCCCTGGCTGGGCCAGGGTGAGCATCATGGTGGCAGAGCACGGCGGCAGTCATCGTGCCCAGGGGCTGGCGGGTGGATGCCCATGGGGCAGCAGGGACAGGCAGGCAGAGGTCAGAGGCGATGCACCGGTGGGGAGGAGGGGCAGCAGAGGGGGAGGGGGACGTATCTAGTTGCTGCCAATGGAAAGTTGGGTTCTTTTTCAGCTGCTGCTCCGGGTTGGTTATTTTTAGCCCCTGCCCTTGTCCCGAGAGGGCCCCGGGCACCTGCCGGGAGCAGCCGCAGCTGAGCCCACATTCCAGGGGGAGCGTTTGCATGGATCAGCGCTCCTGGAGCCAGGACCCGGCGGGCTCCGATATGGGGCCCCGAGGCACCAGG